GCGCTCTGCCGAGCCCCAGAACTCATTTAGGAGGAAGAGACGAGATCAAGGAAGTCCTGTCTGCCCGCAGCTGCTGGCTCCCGCCACTCACCTGGGCGTTGAGGGCAGCGGCCTGCTGCAGCTGCGACCTGCTCAGGGCCTGGCTGAAGGGGTCCCTGAGGAAGCGCGTGTTCTTATGCACCACCTGCCGGGGCTTCTTAAACAGCTGCTCCTCATCCGGGACGCCTGGCGGGCCGAGGAGAGATGGCGGCAGGTGTCAGAGGGGCGCTCGGGCCCGAGAGAGGCCACGTCATTCCCCGCTGAACAGACACACGGAGCCGGCTTCAGCCCCCACATCACAAAACCCGAACAAAGCGGGGGAGAGCCTCACTCCCTCACTGACTTCCCACACACACCCACCGGCCCCAAGCAGACCGGGACCCTCGGAGGCCCGGAAGGCTAGGGGACAGAGACACACGCGTTGAAGGCCAGATCCAAACACCCGGCCCTGCCCACGCCGCCTGCTCACCCTCTGGGTAGTACATGAGCGAGTTCTTGGCCTTGTACTTCCAGGTCTCCACGCCGGCCTGGCTGCTCTCGATGGCTTGGTGCTCTGCCGACGGGAGCGCAAGATTATCTTTCTGCCGCTGCGTCACACAAGGAAAAGGGAGGGTCAGAGCGCCCTGGGCACCGTGCCCTGGCCCTGCGACTCCCCCACCCCAGAGGGGAGGGTGCTGCTGCCCCTGTGCCCACGCACACCTTCTCAAACTCCGCCTCGGCCTGGTAGAGCCAGGCATGGCGAGCCCGGCTCTTCTCCTTGGCCACCTCCATGATCTCCTGGAAGGAGGCATTGTCCTCGCTTGTGTACCGGCTCAGGAAGACATCCAGGCTGGGCAGGGGCTCCTTCTCCTCCTCCTCCTCTCCAGCCTCTCCTGCTCAGGGTAAGGGGGGGGGTGGGTGACGCAGAACCATAAATGGCACCAACACCACTTTGCAGTCTGTGGGTCCTGGGGACCGCACTTACCGACAAGCAGGGCTAGAATGCTCACACCTGGGCCTGGGCCTGGTTGTGAGAGCCCACCCTGCTGGACAACTCCCCACCCGGGGGCAGAATCAACCACCCCCCAGTGCCCAGGCAACCTTCAGGGGCTCCCCTCATCTGCTGGATGCCAAGTGCAGTGTGCGATCTGACTCGGACCGGAAGGCGAGCACCCACGCGTTAGAGAAAGAACAGGTTTGCCCAGGGTCCTGGGAGATACGGCAGCTCTGGAAGCCCCTTCCAGAGTGTCCCTTCCCTCGGGGTGGGGTGCCATCAGTGACCCCGGTGGAGGTGAGCCCAGGCCCTCCCACCCACCGCAGCCATCCCTCCAAACCAGTGTACATTCCAACACCAAGGCTGGCAGCTGGCCCTCCATCCTTCCCCAGGATTCTGGAACCCCGGAATCTGACCTCTGGGAGGGAAATGAGGCCAGTCTGCACCCAAGGTAGCCATAGGCTTCTACAGCCATGGGGCTCAGCTTGGAGAAGGGGCGCACCTAGAGGAACCAGGCTGGGTCAGCGAGGTCCCCTTCCTAGTGCGGAGCCAGGGTAGTCTCCCAGGGAGTCACTGACCATGTGACAGACAGAGGGCACTCACCATCACCATCCTCCAGGCCCTGGCCCCGGCCCTGGGGCTTGTGGCCCACCACGCCCGTCCCTGTGTGCACCTCAGGGGTTTCAAATGTGGCCGGAGTCACATCTGGGGAAAGGGAGGAAACGGGGATCAGCGTGGACCTGAGGCAACAATTCAGAGATTGTTCCCGTCGGTGCCACCCACAGGAGTCCTCTTACAGGGCGGCGGGGGCTCTCGGGACATCTTGCCCAGGGCAGAGCCAAACTTGATGGCAATCTGGCGCATGCGTTCCAGGTCCCCATTCTCCTCAGCCTCCAGGTATTCCTTCTGTGCCTGCAGCTTTTCCACGTCAGGAAAGAAGTCTCTCTGGATGACTGTCTGGAGGCCCTGTCAGGAGCGATCAGAACAAGAGTCAGAGCTGCCATCTAGGCTCCCCTGCCTCTGTCACCTGCCGGAAATGCTAAGGCCACTGCTGACCATCCGCCCCACCCTCTGTCCAGCCCAATGCTCCCGAGTTTAGGGGCATTTTCTTTTTCTTTTTTTATTTTTATATTTTATTGATTTTTTACAAAGAGGAAGAGAGAGGGATAGAGAGTTAGAAACACTGAGGAGAGAGAAACATCAATCAGCTGTCTCCTGCACACTCCCTACCTACCGGGGATGTGCCCACAACCAAGGTACATGCCCTTGACCGGAATCGAACCTGGGACCCTTCAGTCCGCAGATGTTCTATCCACTGAGCAAAACCGGTTTCGGCAAGGGGCATTTTCTGATGAAAACAGCATCCCTGCCATTGTCGGGTAGCTCAGTTGGTTGGAGCATCCTCCCAATGTGCCAGGGTTGTGGGTTTGATTCCCAGATAGGGAGTCAACCAATGAATATATAAATGGGTGGGACAATAAGTCCATGTTTTCGTATCTCTCTCTGTCTCAATAAATAAAAAAGTTTGGCTCAGTGGATATAGCATCGGCCTGCGGACTGAAAGGACCCAAGTTCAATTCCGGTCAAGGGCATGTACCTTGGTTGCAGGCACATCCCCAGTGGGGGGGGGGGGGGGGTGCAGGAGGCAGCTGATGGATATTTCTAACTCTCTATCCCTCTCCTTTCCTCTTTGCAAAAAACCAATAACATATAAAAAGCATTTTAAACAACATCTCATGGGGCCTTGCTGAAACATCTAACATTACTAAAGGCTCCTTTGATTTTCATGAAGCCGTTCTCTCTCTCTCCCTTACTAACTGGTCCTTCTCATTCTCATTTGCTGGCCCCACTTCCACACCTGCTGGACCGAGGTTTTCATCAGGTTGGTGCAGTTGAAGCTGGGGAGAAGGCAGATTGCCGCCTTCACTCCTATTTCCAATGTAAGGCCCCGGTGCAGACGCCAGTGACTTCTGGGTCTTCCTTTCCCTGGATGACTTCAGCCTCTCACCCCCCACCACCAGCACGAATTGTGATCCCCCAACTCTGCACCTCCAGCCAGACCTTGCTCCTCGGCTGTACATTTGTGCACCCAGCTGTACAATGACGCCCCCTGTCTGTACAGCCGAGAAGCCTCCCAAACTGAACCGGCGCCACACCGAACCGGCACCCGCCAATCTCCTCCTCCTGCCTGTTTGCGGCAGGATTTCAAGATGCTGCCTCCTCAATCGCAGGACTCCCGGCCTTTGCACTTGCCATTACCGCTCTCTAAAAAGTCCTCTTTGCCACTAGCCTTCCAAACTCTCACTCGTGCTTTAACAGAAAACCTTGTTTCCCGAATCCGCCACACATACGAGCAGAACTGCCTCCTATCGCACCTACAACTCTGCTTCCTTCATCAAGGACACCCAGCCCCTTCTGCACTGTGTTTATTTGGCTCCCGTGCCGTCCAAACCCCAAGGCCAAGGGATTCGGGCTGCTTCGCCTCTGCGAGGGGAGGAAAGTCCTCGGCCCGTGAGGAGGGACCCCAGAGGCGCGCGAGGGGGGCGGGGGTGGCAGGGAGGACCCAGGAGGGCCCAGAAGTCGCTGGCGTCCGCACCGAGGTCTTACCTCGATGTACTCCTCCTCGTCCAAGACCTTCTGCTTCCTCGCCACAGCCCCGGCCTCCCCAGCCGCCCGCTTTCTCCCGGGCCCCGACGCGGTGGAAAGCAGCAGGGCCCCGGGAGACGCGCTGGGCGTCTCCATCGCTATCCCAGGGCTGCTCAGAAGGCGCGTCACCGCGTCAGAGGGGCGGGGCTGTACTGGCTGCACAGTTGGCCAATAGGAGAGCTGCGCGTTTCGGAGGCCGACCGCGCTCTGCTATGACGTCACTAAAAGCCCTCGCCCTTATGGGAATTGTAGTCTTCTCCTTACCCCTCGCTATATTATGTACCCGAGCGGTGGGCACTAGGCGGCGCTGTGGTGGTGATGGAGTTAAGGGGTGTGTCACTTTTTTTTTTCTTTTTTTTTTGTGTGTGTGTGTCATTTACTCTAACCGTGAGACGTTCCTGCATTTATTTATTTATTTATTTATTTATTTATTTTTATTTATTTTTTTATAAGTATATTTTATTGATTTTGTACAGAGAGGAAGGGAGAGAGATAGAGAGTTAGAAACATCGATGAGAGAGAGTCATCGATCAGCTGCCTCTTGTACACCCCCTACTGGAGATATGCCTGCAACCAAGGTACATGCCCTTGACCGGAATTGAACCCGGACCCCTCAGTCCCCAAGCCCACGCTCTATCCATTGAGCCAAACTGGTCTCTGCCGTTCCTGCATTTAAGTAAGGCCTTGGGCTTCCCAATTTTTGGCAAATAATCACTGCCTATGCTTCCATATCATCAACAAAAATACATACTTCAAGAATTTTGATTATATACACGTTTCAAAGCTTTTATTAAAATTTTTATGCAAGACAATTCTTTCTTTTTTGTAATATATTTTATTGATTTTTTACAGAGAGGAAGAGAGAGAGACTGAGAATTAGAAACATCGATGAGAGAGAATCATCCATCAGCTGCCTCCTGCACCCCCCACCCTGGGGGGATGCTCCCGCAACCAAGGCACATGCCCCTGACCGGAATCAAACCTGGGACCTTTCAGTCCACAGGCCAACACTCTATCCACTGAGTCAAACCGGTTTCGGCTAAGACAATTCTTTCTTGATAGCTATCTAAGAAAAGAAAAAAGAAAGCAAAATATGATAGGTCAATATAGAAATATCTGGTTAAAAATGTTCAGGTACTTGGGGGTGGGGGGAGAGGGAAATGGGGGAAGAAAAAAAGAAAAATTTTAAAAAATATCAGGTCCTTAAATGCCAGTGGGCCCCCAGAAGAGGGTTAATTCTCACTGAAGTGGACCAGAAAATTGCCTAAGCATTTTGCAGACCTGGTCACTTATTAAAAGGAGGTTGAAAATTAACAAGAAAGTAAGTGTTATCCCAAAATGATTTAGTACAATAAGCAGTCATTCCTTTATTCACTGGGGATTCCATGTTGATGGTTCCTGCCCTCACAGAGCTAACAGTCCAATGAGGAAGACAGACTCTGGTTAGGTCACCCCACAAACAAGTTTAGAACTGCAGTTGACAGGAGCAAGGAAAGAGTTTGTAGTTGAGGAATCTCCAAGTCAGGGGAAGTTTTCCCGGGCAGGGGTTGATCCAAATGACGAACAGGCTTTCATCAGGCGGAGAGGGAAAAGCCTGGGCAGAGAGCAGCAGGAGGGAGAAGACCTTTGGACATGCAGAGTACAAGGAGCAGTGAGGTGTGAGACGATGCCAGAGAGGCAGGCCAGGCTGCAATCGATGGAACCTTGTGGGTCATGGGGCAATGGGAAGCCCTCGGAGCGCTTTAGTCAGGGGAGAGGCAGGTTCAGACTTGCAGATTTATGCAGAATCAATTAAAAAGGAACCAGCGTAGATAGAGGTGACAAGACTGAAGGTGACTGCATCGGTCAAAGTGAGAGATGATGGAGGTTTTCATAGGTTGGTGCAACTGATGCTGAGGAGAAGGTAGGTTCTGGGATTGTTTTGGAAGTTGAGATGCTGACTTGCTGTTGGCTTGTGTCTGGTTGGCGAGGGAGAGGCAGAGGCGGGGGCAGGGTAATCGCCTGCCCTTTGGTTCATGCACCTGGTGTGTACGGGGGCGGAGTTCGCCTCTGGAGGACAAGGTGGGCCTGTGGGCTTCCGGGTAAAGGAGTCAAAGGGACACTTGGCCATCAATATCTAGTTCTGGGGAGGGGCCTGGGCTGGGTATGTAAATGTGGCAGCTGAGAATGGGAGAGAGAGACCAGGGTGAGAATGGAGATGAGAGGAGGGTGCCTGAGACGCAGCTCAAGGATACCTACTAGAATGTTAACAGCCAGCTGTGGAGGGGAGCCTGCCCGAGAGCCGCTGGAGAGAAAGGAGAAAAACCGAAAGGGCAGCACCGCCACCGTCCCTTGCAGCTGGAACTCTCATCCTGGCTGCCCCGCACAAAGACAAATAACCACGCAGCCAAGGAGGGCAAAGGTCCAGGAACCCAGAGAGATGCGAGTGTCCCAGCCTGCAGGGGAGCTCCACGGGCTGACGGTGCAGTGGCCAAGCATAAGTCCAGGACTCAGGGAAGAGAGCCCGGTGACAGCCAGAGTGTGCATCCTGGGGGGAGAGGCAGCAGCTGCCATCTTGGCGGCACCGGCAGTTTGAGGGCAGCCCTGGCTGGGAACACCATGCCTTCTGGGTGCCGTCTGAGCTGGCCAGCCTTGGACAGTCCCAAGAGCTGCAGCCGTGACTTCTGTGACTTTTTTTTTTTTCTTTCTAAAATTTGTATTGATTTTTTTTTACAGAGAGGAAGGGAGAGGGATAGAGAGCCAGAAACATCAATGGCGAGAGAAACGCCGATCAGCTGCCTTCCACACCCCCACCTTCCCCACTGGGGATATGCCCGCCACCAAGGCATATGCCCTTGACTGGAATCAAACTCAGGACCTGTAAGTCCGCAGGCCGACGCTCTATCCACTGAGCCAAACCTTCTGTGACTTTTATGGAAAGTAACCCGTGTCTCCTGCCAGATATTCCTCCCAAACTCCCCCCAGGACCTGTGAGGGGGCAGAGCAAGGTCCTCAAGCCAGAGGAGTGGGTGTTAGGTTCCTTGGGCCCACTGTTTGGGTCTACGTGGGAGCTGAAGTCATATTTCCACACTATCCTTCGGCGAGGGGGCAGGATGATGGAAGGGAAAGCAGATGTTTTCAAGGCAATGTGTGTGTGGGTAGGTCTCCCCTACTGAGCCTCCTCTTGTCCTCCAGGGTGGCAGAAATTGCTGCGGGAGGCAGACACCCCAACATGGAAATCTGCCCCCTGAGGGAGGAAGCGAAGAAACCCCCCCCCCCCCTTACCTATGAAGCAGCAGGAGAGGCCAATGCAGGCCTCCAGGGTGCCAGACCAGTACTGCTAGGGCAGTGTGCTCTGCTGAGGGGCACCCTGGTGCAGGGACTGAGTACTCACTGTGCTCCCCAAGACAAGATGGCACCCCCTCCCTGGGAAGGAGAGAGAAGGGACAGGTTCTGGCGGGGTGTGGGAGTGGAGCCAGGGCAGACTTAGGACTCAACTGCTTTTTGTTTGTTTGTTTGGTTGGTTATCCTCACCGGAGGATTTTTAGAGAGTGGAAGGGAGGGGGGAGAGAGAGAGAGAGAGAGAGAGAGAGAGAGAGAGAAATATCGGTGTGAGAGAGACACGCCAATTGGTTGCCTCCTGACCAGGGCCAGGTCTGGAGCCTGCAACCGAGGTTACCACCCTCCACCGGCATCGAACCTCTTCAGTCCCAGGGCTAACGCTCTAGCTACTGAGCCAAACTGGCCGGGGTGTTTTGTGGAGTTGTAGTTGCTTGTTTGTTTTTCATTGTTGCAATAGGCTCACAGGAAAGGTCTGAACATGGAACCCCGTGCAGTATCTTCCAGCTAACTGGCAGCAACCCCGGGATGCACAGACACCACCCACCCTGCCTCCAGGTTCCGGGTCACCCCCCCGGGTGCAGAGAGGAGGGGGGCCAGGAAAGAGAGGATTTTAGGTCCCCTATCCACAGTGGGGGTTCGTACCTGGGAGGAGGGGTGAGGAAGCCGACCTGCTGTGCCCCTGCCCCCCAGGCCTCTAGCCCGCGGGCCAGGAGGCAGCAGATCGCACCTGGGTCCTCGGCGTCCTCTCCAGAAGGCTCGATCCTCCCGCCTCGAGCACTACCTCCAGGACCCAGGACGCTGTGCCGACGGCAAGAGGCAGGGGTCCTCCCCCCACTCGTTTCCGGGCAGGGCTGACTGCCGTCTCTACGAGCCGCCCGAGGCCAAGCCGAGGAGCAGCTCGCGGCGCATCAGCACTGCTCCTTGGGTGGCTTCTTGGCTCCGGGCAGGAGCCTCGCAGCCGCGGACGCCCGCTTCTGGTGTCGCCATTTGGCGCGGCGGTTCTTGAACCAAACCTGGGGAGGAGGAGCCCACAGGTGGGAGTCCCGCTGGGCGTGTGGGCGGACCAGAGCTGCGGACACGGTCCGGGTTCGAGCCCCTTTCCCACTCGGACCAGCCATCCCTCCCCAATTCCTACCCACCCCCAACTCCGCCCCGCGGCGCCCGGGGCGCCCCTCCTGCCGCTCGGGCGTCTTCTGAGCTTCCCAATATCTGGACCTGGAAGGCGCGCCTCACTCACCATCAGGGGAACACGAAGTTTAAAACAAAGAAAAGGAAAACTACAATAGTTCCCGGACTATTTCCCCACCCGAGCCAGTCCCCGCCGGCCCCCCGCCCCATCCCTGGCTGTCCCGGGCCCCCGCCCCCTGCACCGGGGCGGACTCTCGGGAACCAGGAGGAGGAGGAGGGCCCCGCCCGCGGCCCCGCAGGGGGCCCACCTCCACGCGCTCCTCGCGCAGGCGGATGCGGCCGGCCAGGCGCTCCCGCGTGCCCACGTCGGGGTACTGGTTCCGCAGGAAGAGCGCCTCCAGCGCCTGCAGCTGCTCCTCGCTGAAGATGGTGCGGTGGCGCCGCGTGCGCCGCTGCGGGCCGGGGCCGCCGGGGGCGGACAGGGCCCCCGAGCTCCCCGGCGGCGCGGCCAAGGGCGGGGGCGCCGGGGGCCCCAGCCTCAGCGGCCACGGCAGCCGCGCGCCTGCGGGGCGAGGGCGAGGTGAGGCGCGGGGCCGAGGCGGGGTCCGTCGCGCTCTGCACCGACCTCGCCGTCACCCCGGCCCCCCGCGCCCGCGCCCCTCGGCCACTCACCCAGCCGCGCGGCCGGCTCCGGGGGCCGCCGGACGCCGCAGCAGCAGCAGCAGGCGCAGGGCGCGGCCTCGGGCGCCCCGGGCTCCCCGGGCTCCGCGGGGCTCGGGCGGCCGGCGGGCGGCGGCGGGCGGGCGGCCCGGGCCGGGGGGCTTCGCTCGGGCAGACTGGAGAGGATGTGCTCGATGGAGAAGGGGCAGGGCCGCCCGGGGCCCCCGCGGCTCGCCGCGCCCCCCGCCGCCGCCATCTCGGCCGGCCCGCCGCCGCCGCCGCCTCGGGGTATATATCCGTCGGGGCGGGGGGAGCGCGGTAATCCCCGGGCCCGGCGCCGCGTCCACGCGGGCTAATCCCGCCGCGTGGCCGGAGCTCGCTAATCCCCGACAGCGGTGGCGGGAGATGCTGTCCCGCCGCCACGGCGCGCGGGGGCTCGCCGAGCCGCGGGGATGGGACCCGCAGGAAGCCTCTGCCTCCCGCCGCCCCGGAGTCTGGCGCTGGGTCCCCTCTTCCTTTTTTATTTTACTTTATTTTATTTTACTTTAATATATGTATATATATAAATATTTTGCCAAAACTGGTTTGGCTCAGTGGATGATAGAACGTTGGTCTGCGGACTGAAGGGTCCCAGGTTCGATTCCCGTCAAGGGCATGTGCATTGGTTGCAGGCACATCCCGGAGGAAGGGAGAGGGATAGAGAGCTAGAAACATCGATGAGAGAGAAACATCAACCAGCCACCTCCTGCACACCGTCTACCGGGGATGTGCCTGCAACCAATGTACATGCCCTTGACCGGAACCCTTCAGTCCGCAGGCTGAGGCTCTATCCACTGAGCCAAACCGGTTTCGGCTTTATTTTCTTTTTAAAATTTTTATTTTTATTGTTTTCAGAGAGGAAGGCAGGGGAAGAGAGAGACAGAAACACCCACCACGAGAGAATCATTAATGGGCTGCTTCCTGCACACCTCCCACTGGGAATCAAGCTGCAACCAGGGCATGTGCCCTGACCAGGAATCAAACCCGGGACCTCCTGGTTCATAGGTCTACGCTCAACCCTGGAGCCTCGCCAGCGGGGCTGGGTCCCTTCCTCCTGTAGCTGAGGAGGCTGGGGTTCCCACCCCACCTGCACAGCCTCCTAGCCCCATCGCTACTGGGCCTCCACCTCAAATGGGGCCTGGCACCATGGGCAAAGCCAAGATCCCAACCACACTCTTGGGCCCCACCTTCCCATCGCTTCAGAGCCCAGTCTGAGCCTCCCGAAGGAAATAGGGGTGAGGGCAGGAGCTAGCTATCTCCCCAAATCCCCTGCCTTCTGTCCTGGGTTCCCCTGAACCACATGGCATTGGTTTGGGGGCTGGGCAGTGAGTGGGAGCTGGGAGAACCTGCCGAGGCTGACAGTGTGTCTGTCCTAGAGGAAGGTGAGGAAAATGCCATTGGAACATGGAGGGAAGGAGACCCTTGTCAGAGCGGCAAGAATTGAGCAACCTTGTGACCTGCAGGAGAGCAGGAAATAGAAAATTAATGGCCCTAACCGGTTTGGCTCAGTGTAGAGCATCAATCAGCTCGTGGACTGAAGGGTCCCAGGTTTGATTCCCGTCAAGGGCATGTGCCTTGGTTGCGGGCACATCCCCAGTGGGGGGTGTGCAGGAGGCAGCTGATGGATGTTTCTCTCTTATCAATGTTTCTAACTATCTCTCTCCCTTCCTCTCTGTAAAAAAATCAATAATATATATATAATTCTTGCCCTGGCCAGTTTGGCTCAGTGGATAGAGCCTCAGACAAAGGTCCCAGGTTCAATTCCGGTTAAGGGCATGTACCTTGGTTGCGGGCTCAATCCCCAGTAGAGGGCTTGCAGGAGGCAGCTGATCAATGTTTCTCTCGCATCAATGTTTCTAACTCTATGCCTCTCTCCTCTCTGTAAAATCAATAAAATATATCCTATATAATGAAAGCCTAATATGCTAAGTGTCTGGTCGTCCAGTTGGCTGTTCAACCAATCAAAGCTCAATATGCTAATGATATGCTAAGGTTGCTCTACTGCTTGCTATGTTGTGCACTGACCACCAGGGGGAAGATGCTTTGACCAGGAGGTGAACTTGTTGCTGGGATCTGTCCACTGATCAGGAATGAGCTAGATGGGCTGGACAGGCCCTGGAGCCCTCCCATGGTCCCTCCCAGGCTGGCCAACCTCCCGTGTTCCTCCCCAGCCCCGATCCATGCATTGGTGGGGTCCCTCAGCCTGGCCTGTGCCCTTTAGCAATACGAGACCCCTCGGGGAATGCCTGAGAACTGGTTTCAGCCCGATCCCGCAGGCCAGGCCAAGGGACTCAACTGATGCACTAATTTGTGCTTGGGGCCTCTAGTTAAAAAAAAAAAAAAAAGAGCCGAAACCGGTTTGGCTCAGTGGTAGAGCGTCGGTCTGTGGAGTGAAAGGTCCTAGGTCCGATTCCAGTCCAGGGCATGTACATTGGTTGTGGGCACATCCCCGGTGGGGGGTGTGCAAGAGGCAGCTGGTTGATGTTTCTCTCTCATTGACGTTTCTAGCTCTCTCTCTCTCTCCCTTCCTCTCTGTAAAATATCAATAAAATATTTTTTTTTTTTTTAAAGATTATTCTTGGTTGATCTGTGAGTGTTTTGGGTGGGGCCTGGATGAGGCTGGTTGACCTATGTGGAAATGTCTTTTGTGTGAAGTATATCATTGGGCATGTGGAGGTATTATTGATATGAGAAAATGCTGAGTAACTGATTTACTATCTGAAAAGGGATTTACTAATGGGGAAAGGGAGGGAGGAAGAGACTGAACATAAACTGTGCACCTATGGATGAGGACAATGGGGGATGGGAAGGGGGCGGAGGGTGGGGTGGGAACCTGGTGGAGGGGGGAAGAAATGAGGAACCTTTGTAATAATATGAACAATAAAGATTGATTAAAAAAAATAATAAAAATTAAAAAAGATTATTCTTTTCCCTGTTGTATTGTTTTTGCACTCCATAAATGAATTGCAAGTCAATTGACCATAAATGAGAGGGACTTCTTTATTCTTAATTATTGATCTATATGCCTCCCCTATGGCAGTGCTACAGTTTTTGGTTTTTTTAAAAAATATATTTTATAGAGAGGAAGGGAGAGGGATAGAGAGAGTTAGAAACATCGATCAGCTGCCTCTTGCACACTCCCCACTGGGGATGTGCCTGCAACCAAGGTACATGCCCTTGACCGGAATCAAACCCGGGACCCCTGAGTCCATAGGCCGATGCTCTATCCACTGAGCCACACCGGTCAGGGCAGTATTACAGTTTTGATCACTGTAGCCTTGCAGTCAGTTTGGAGACAGGGAAGTGTGCACTCCCCAACTTTGTTACTTTTCAACATTGGTTTTACTGTTCTTGTTCTCTTGAATTTCCATATGAAATTTTAAGAATATGTTTATTGATTCCAGAGAGAAAGGGAGAGGGAGAGATAGAAACATCAATGATGAGAACCGTTAAGAAGCTGCCTTCTTGCACAACCCCAAATGGGGATCAAGCCCTCAGCCTGGGCATGTGCTCTGACCGGGAATCGAACCTGGAACCTTTTGGTCCTTGGGCCAATGCTCTATCCACTGAGCCAAACCGGCTAGAGTGGAACCACCTTTTATGCCCCATGCTCCACTGTCCTTGTCTGAGCTCTGCCTCCAGCTTCGGAGGGTCCGTGTGAGCGGCTCCCTCGCCCAGGACAGGGCTCCAAGATGGAAGCTGCCCTGCGCCAGGAGCTGCCAACACTCAGAGGAGCAGGCGGATGCACTGAGCACTGAAGGGGTCTGGCTAAGTCCCCAAGCAACACCCACCAGTGTCTGCTTCTCCCCTTCCGTGGAAGGCCCGCCTTCCCGCCTACCAGCCTGCGTGAACACACACCCAGACTCCCGTTCACCTGGTGAATGCACAGCTGTCTACCCAGGAAAGCGGTCCGCCCACTCGCCTGCGCACCTTGGTAAGCCTTCGCCTGCCCCAGAGCTGCTTAAGCCTCCAGCCCCCAACAGTCTGGCTATTTCCCTTGCGTCCCACCCCCAAGTCTCAGGGGTTCTCTTGTCCACATCCGGCACGGCCCCCTTCTCTGTGCCAGCCACCGAGGCCCGCCACCTGTGCCCCCACCATGGCCCGTCCGACCCACTCCTGGCCACTTTCCCCTCCCGAGGGAGCCTGCCATAGAGGCAGTGGTCTCTGCAGACACATCCAATCAGGATGCTTCCCTGCTTCAAACTCTCAGGCTAAGAGGATCAGCCGTCCATCCTCGTGGCCCCTCAGTGCTAGCACTCTGCCACCTCTGTCCATCTGCCCCATTGGGCCTCCACCTCCTCTCCCCAGCTGTCCAGGCTCCAAGTCAGCTTCTCCAACCTGCACAGCTGGCAGCCTGCTTGGGTCCTCTCAACCGCCCTGGGGCTCAGTGTGGCCTCCAGAGAGGGGCCCCCCATCTTACTCCACCTGCCTTCCACCGGAAACCCCAGGCTTCCTCCATCCGCACACCCTCACCGACAACGCTAGCTGCCATCACTTCTGTCTCCCAGACTGAAGAGCAGGCCCAGCTGCTTCCCGGACTGGTCAGAGCGGGTCAGTGCCAAAAGGGAGGGGCGGGGCCTGTGAGGGGCGGGGTGGGGGACCCTCAGGGCCCATGGAGGAATGGGTGTGCAGATTAGTCCTGAACGATCACCGGCTTTGGACAGAAAGGCAGGCCCAGCAAGGTCCAAGGTGGGTTTGGGGTTCAGTCCCAGCAAATGCAGGAGTGAGGCTAGAGGAGAGTGGGGTGCATGTTGTCCCTCAGCACCCAGCTGAGATGGCAGCCAGGATGGAGGTGGGAAAGGGGTCCTGGGTGCAGCTCAGGGCTGTGGAAGGAGGACATGGGATGGAGGTGGGGAGCTAGGGATGCCCTCTGTGCTCGGAGACATCCTCCCTCCTTCTTCTTCCACCCCCACCTGGGCCGGCTCTCCCACCTTCCCCTGCGGCCTGCCGCCAGCGATGCCATCAGGATCCCCGATTGCTTTCTTTCATCCCGGTGCCTTTCTCTGCAGCAATCGGCCGGCCCGCTAATGCCTCCTTTATCACGGAATTAGGGGATTTAGGACCTATTTCACAAAGAGGCCCTCGATGGCAGCCCTAATCAAACGCCAATCAGCCCGATCTCCAGCGGGACTGGGAAGAAAGTGAGCGGGCGCTGGAGATTAGTGCGGACCAGCGGCCAGGCGGGCAGGGCGAGATAGCATCGCCCAGCCCGGGGCTGGAGCCGCCCGGGAGGCCGGCCCAGGCCTGGGAGAAAGGCCTGAGAAAGGCCGGCTTAGCCGCTGGGCGCTGGGGATTCTGAAGCCATTAGAGGGGATTAGCGCCCGGGCTAATCTACTTTGGCCGCTCAATTGTCCGCAGGGGATGGGAGGTAGACACCTCAGCGGAGCAGCCACGGGGCCTCTGCAGTCCAGGCCCTGGGGCTGGC